GTGTGTGTGTGTGTGTGTGTGTGTGTGTGTGTAACTAGTTAATCAGTTAAAAATAAAGTTAAAAAATTTAAAAGTAATTTTGTCTTTAACGAAATTGAAAAATAATGTTTTAATATATTAAAATTAAATGATTTTATTATTAATTTTATAAAATTAATTTATCTTTAATTAATTTTTAATTAAATTTCATTATACAATATGTACAATACTAAATGAAATATTATAGTATATGTAACTAAATAGTTTATGTACTAAAGTATAAAATAATAGAAAAAATAATGTAACAAATAAAGAAATAATATAAAAAATAAATTACAATGTATGTAGATATGTGTAATAATGTAAATTCGGTTTTTTTTATTAAATAAATTTTATGTGGAGTTTAATAAATTCGTCTAAATTAGTTATATAAAAGCCATAACAATAATTTTGAAGAAACTTACGTCCCGTAATAGTAGTTCTAAGATATAGGACCAAAAGTCTAAAGATTCTAAAAAAGCAATTAAAGATATGATTTTTGGCGAATTCATGAAAGATACACTTAGTCATCTACGATCTTAATCCTTGTATACATTCATATTAGTATTACAAATTATTAATTTTTTTATATATAATTATATATTATTATATTTTAGATATATCATTGTAAATAAATATAAAATACATAATAAGTCATCTAAATAAGTAAAAGATCACAAATTTTTTCAGGCGTTAGGCAATGTTATAAAAAATGTTAAAGACTAGAATGGAAGAGAAAGGAGAGGAAAATTAGTGAAAAGTAAAGAAAAATAAAAATATTTTTAATTTTAATTTTTTGTAAACTAATAGTTTAGTCCTTAATAGTTTTTTTTCCTGTAAACAGTTTGTTTTTTAATGTTATTCTTTGTTATTGAAATATTCAATAGAATGTGTGTTATTCTTATATAACATATTAATAAATTCTTTCATTAACAACTGAGTAACTAAAGCCTCAATGATCTATTCCATCGAGTACAATGTTATCGTCAGATTGTCAGTAGAAATTAAGGAGCTGCGCCGTGATTGAATATAATAATTGTCGCTAATCAGCAGCAATTATTGTATTCGATGATTGTAAAAATCCTAATTGATTTATATATTATATATATGCAAAAATTGAATCAGATCACTAGCAGATTTCCTAGTGATTATCCCTAGTGAAAATCAGATCTTAATGTGAAATCCTGATACGGACCTGAATAAGCTCTATGATAAGGATCTGATCTTTTGGCCCTGTCAGGTTACTATCGGAAAGTGCATTAAATTTGAGGCTTCCAGGATTCCTTATTCGGACCCGACTGTACGTTAGGGATAACTCGATAGGGATCTTTATTGCACCCCGATTCAATTTCTGCTCGGGTTATTGATTAATGCAAAACATAATTTAAAATAAAAATATAACACAGTAAAATATATTATAGGTTTTAAATGATATTAATGTAACACAATCGTTAAATTAAGTAAGATATTTTTTACTTTATTAATTTAATTCACAAAGGAACTTAACTATTTTCAAATCAAGTTCCAATTAAACAACTTTTATACATGTAGAAAATTTTAGATTTAATAATTTGTGATTCTCGAATATTTGACAAATCTTGATCCTCTTTTATAAATATTGCGATGTCTCTCTTTCAGTTACTATCACCGCAGTTATGGATCAAGTCCCGGCGAGCTCCGGAGCCAGAGGGCTTCGTGGAACACTCGTCCAAGATAGAGCAAACCGCCGAGAAGCCTTTCTTCGTACTCTGGCGACACGGCGATGTCGAGGCCATGTACATGGACCCAGCCGAGAGCGCGTCATCCGCGAACTTAAAACGTGGCCTAGCTAGTCTCTTCCAATACCGAACGCTTGACGACGAAGTGCGTCAACGAGACGCTTCCGGCTTCTGCGACGTGACCTATCTCATGTCCGGAGATAATGTTATTGAGAAACGAAAGACTGCCTGCACGCATGGCACACTACCACCATCGAAGCAACATCCGAATCCAATGTTTGCCGTTAGACTCAAGAGTAATCGTCATTCCAAGTACGTGCTAACGCAGTCGCTGTTGCCAGAGCGCGTGAACGATTATGAAGGACACAAAATGACCTTGGCGTCTAAGCCTGACGTTGGTACGAGTGTCGTATCTGAAAGAACGTTGGAGCAGACAGTCGAGGCCATCAGTGCAACAGCAATTCAGGCGAATTCCGCGAAGCAGGCGGTGATGCTGCTTAAGCCTGAATATAAAGAGGCGGACATCGAGCTCCAACCGATGCTCGCCACATGTCCTGATACCGGATGTCCCACGGTAAATCTTTCTGCCTGTTCTATTTTACGTCTATTTCAGTATTTTCATTGTTCTCGAACGACGGGGACAGATAACAAACTAATGAACTTGTAGAGACCGCTCTGATGCATAAAGTTGCCAAGGCTGGGCCTGTATTTGAAATACTGTTATTTGAAAAACAATATTTATAAGACAATTATATATTGTATTTCAGCGGAGCACATAAAAATTTTTTTGTATATTATATTTTATGGAAACATATAAAAGTATTTTGTATTTCAAATATTAATGTTGATCAATCAAACTTCTTATTTGAATTCGAAAATCTAAGTAAACTTTTAATCTTTCGATTTTAAGTACAAAATACCTTCATGTGCTCCGCTAAAATACAAAATAGACTTGTATTGCAAATAATATGTATTTTACATTCAAATATTTCAAATACATTTCCCCTGAAAGTTGCAAAGTAGATAAATAGAAAACAACGCAGGAGATCTTGCATCGTTGTCTGCTATTTGTATTAAACATAAGATTTCAAATTTTATTATTGTTGAGATTAAAATAATTAGAAACATTGAACGTTCTTTTTTAAATGTTTTCTAAAGTTTTAATACAAATTAAAAATAATTGACGGGTTACATAACATTCGCGCGCTTATCATATATCAGTTTATATTAATTCTTAGAGAGATATTATATGTTACATGATAAATAATTTCAAGAATGGAATGTTTTTTTAGGAATGTCCTCTAAAGTTTGAATATAAATTAAAAATAATTGACAGGTTACATAACATTCATACTTAATATATTAGTTTTTACATTGATTCTGAGACATGAATGTTAATGACTCTAGATAAAAATTTGACACCATGAAAACTGCAGTGCGTTCAGTTTTTTAAATAAACATATTAATATTATAATATATACATAAATAATATATAATATAAATAATATTTTAATATAGTACTTATATATTTCGTATTAAAACCTTGAGTCTACATCTCATTGCAGATTAATCAGGCGATCGAAGAATATTACAAGACACTTACCGCTTCCGAGCTGGGTACAGCGAAATCCGCGTCGGCTTTCCTCAAGCTTTTACCTCTAGTCAGGAACGCCTCGCCCGAGGAGCTGCACAAGATCTTAAAGACGCCGCGCAATCAACGGATAAAGATGCAGCTGCTGGATATATTCGGCGCCGCTTCTACATTGCCCGCTCATCAAGCTGCCATGAAGATACTCCGGCAGGATGAGACCGGCGACGAGACCGAGAGGTATCTATGGGCACTGTCTCTCTCGCCGACGCCCCATGTCGATGTTGCCAGAGATATTCTACGACGCTCCGAGGAGACGATGCAAAACGACAAAGTGTCCGAGACTTATGCACTCGCGGCGGGCGCGATGGCGCGGCATCACGGGTCCGCCGCGGTGATAGAGAAGGCGCGAGTCAGCCTGGAACTAGGCTTGGAGACCTGCACTGGCGAGGAGTGCAAGCTTAAGTTCTTGCGAGCTCTGCGAAACCTGAGGTGTCCAGCGGCGATACCCACGTTGCTGGTATACGCATTAAGCGACAGCAAAACCATCAGCACCGCCGCCTGGCGCGCTTTGAAGGCCCTCCCACGTGAAGCTGCGACCGATGAGTTGAAGGGCGCGGCACATAGGGTTTTCTATCAGATCGGAGGGCCGCGAAGGGACAGCAGCGTGCGAACGATCGCGTTGGACGTTATCCTAGAGAACGAGCCTTCCGAAGAGGTTCTACGCGACTTCGTGAAATATTTGAGCAGCAAAGACCCAGCCTACGAAGTCCGCAAGTACCTGAGTCAACGTATGGAGTTACTCGCCGAGAGGGACGCGCGATTCGCCGAACACCTGAGAAATATATACGTCCGTGGCAACGTAACGCTCAACAATTATCACATGCAAGCGCAGCGGGGTCTTAGCACCGCTTTCGCGAGGCACTTCCTGCGCTCACCCGACAGTAATGGTTCATTGGTTACCGTTCAGGAAGTAAATTCCGGTCTTCTGAAGCGCGGCATCGTCGACGTCGTACTGGAGAGCAATGAGCAACGGCAAGCGATGTTCTCGCTGGGACTATTCGCTGGCGGTCTTAGCAGTTTCGTATCGAATCAGGATGAAGTCGACGACGCCGAGGTGGCCACTGCCGGAATGGAGATCGATATTCTTGACGTCGGGATACGACCGTTCGTCTTTTTCACCGGGCAGGGCGAACTGATGGGCCACGTATGGTCGGGCACTGCGGACACAAGGACCCCCGCCTTTCAAGCTCTCGCTTCACTGTACAGTCATAGCGAATATGTGCCATTGGGGTCCGGTTTCGTCGCCGAACTCGACGTTCAAGGTGCCGTGAGCTTCGAGCTGGCCGGTGAGATCCAGCTTAGTCTGTGGTCGAGAAATGCACGTTCCCTGGTGGAGATGAACGCCGGCGTGACGGTCCACGGCGGTACCAGGGTGCACACGAGCTTTGTGCAGAGCAAGGCGGAATTCACGATGGCGATGGAGCCGAAGCTCCAACTATCCACCACCGTGGATTTCAGTGGACCTTCGGCGTTGTGCATGAGACTGAGCCAACCGATTACCGCGGTGAAGTATCAGGTCTACAAAATCGAAAGGATACCCGGCAGCCGGCATAGACTGAGAAAAACGCGCCGGATGAAAGTTCACTCACCTGGCAGATCCTACATGCTCAATCAAAAAAACAATGAAATGTGTACGAAGTTCACGAATTTAAGTTAACGCATACCGAAGACTACTCAGTGATTTTTTTATCGATTACGAAAGAATTGCGAAACTGTTGTTTTTATTATTGTGATTTTTTTTAAGAGTGAAATCTATGATAATATGGCAGCGTCTATTTTCAAATCGATGGATATTGCTATATTTCAACCTTTATATGACAATGCATAACTCAAATTTATTTTAGATTAATATTGTTTTAGCATTTTAGTCAAAGAAGATAAGGTTCGAAATTTAAATCTTAAAATTTTCTTTATATTCTTGCTTAATTATTCTAAAAATTAATTGCAATTCCAATTGGCTGGTTTTGTATATAAAAACTCTAAAACACAGTTAAAAAGTTTTTCACAAAAATAAGTCTCCAAAAAATTAAATTCTCAGGAAATACAAATCTTTATCTACAAACCGTTTATTTTGTAAATATAATAATTTTTCTCCGGACATATAATAGATATAAAATAGAGTTTAGACTCTCTGGTGGAAGAATTTTATCAGAAATTTTAGCAGAATGGCTGCAAATTTGCTGAAATTTTGCTGAGATTTTGCAAAAAGTTTTTTTTTTTCAACAAAAAGTCATTTTCTGCTAAATTGATGAAATTTGTCTAAAAAAATTATTAAAATTGTTTCAAAAAATTTTCTGAAAAATTTGTTGAAATTTGTTTTCTCTTAATGATACGCTGAAATTGCCACAAGCAGTACTCTTGAATTTTATTCTTCATAATTAAAATATCATACAAAATAGAACATAAAGCCCAGCATTATGAAATTTTTCTTCTGTTTTCTTGTGTTTTAATGAAATCATTCTTTATGAAAAAATCAACGAGTTTCCAAAATTAGATTACAAAATGAAGAAATGTATTATTTTTAATATAATTTTGTTTAGAAAAATTGTAAAAATTAATTCAGAGACCATTTGTGTTTGCTATATAAAAAAACATGTAATTTAATTTTCAAATTCAATTAAATTTCACATGAGCTGAAAATTGTTTCAAAACGTGGAACAACTTCAGCAAAATTTTTAGCGAAATTTTATCGAATTTTTCAGCAAAATTTTTCCATCAAGTTAATATCTTTTTTTATAACATATTAATAATGATATGTTGAAGAAGGAAATGTTATTTAAAATTGAATGTAATAATTTTTCACTTTTTATTTACAGAATGCTCTATATTCTTTACAAATGTTAAACATTAAGTTCATTAAAAAAAATTTAGATTATGGCCAAATTGTTCGATTTCTTGGTAGCATTTAGGGTTGCATGAGATCAAAACAAGACGATATTTGTAAAAATATTGTATTGGTATTGAAAAATTTTGAAAATTTTAATCTTGTCTCGGTCTTGATCAATATTCATAGCAAAAATCTCTTGTCTTGTTTCATCTCCAATCGAACAAACCTCTAATGTTTTGTTGCAATAGTGCTTTGATCAACAAGCTCTCTCGCGCAAGTTCTCTCTCTGTAAAAAAAGTAGTACCTGTACACAGAACGCGGCAATTCTTGTCGCGCGGCGGAAGTTGGCGTGATTAACGTCGCTTGCTTAGAAGTAATAGATATATAATTTTCACTGCGAGACAAAAGTGATAATTATACAGAATAGGTCGCGCAGCTTAAAAATCAATAAAATTAACAATTATGTAACAGCTTTTTTCTCTTATTTACAAATATATACATAATTTTTTTTTAGAAACCAATAATATTAAGACAAGACCAAGAATCTGGACATCTTGTTTTGATATTGTCTTAATAATTTATTAGTAATCTTGAATTTGGACGAATTGGAGGCAAGATAAGACAATACTAAGATTAGTCTTGATATCTCGTACAACCCTAGTAGTATTACATTGTGAACAGTTTTATTCCGACAAAACTCAAACAGAAAACAGGAAATATATCTAACGTTCGTATTTAGAACGTACTTTTATTGATAAATACGCGATTTTATTTTTAAAATTCTATAGTATATACAACTATATACAGGGAATTAGTTAAATATGTTGCCATACAGAGCGATTCTTTGATTTATTTCAAGTAAAAAAGTCCATATAAACGTGTGTCCTAAACGGCCTAATTTCCGAAATAAAAAAATTAAATTTAAATTTAAATGTGTAGTAATAATCTGTTTATTTGAAAGAAATACAGCTTGAACTAGTCAAAAACTAGTCAAAAATTGAAAAACAGAAATAAGCTTCAGTTTTTCTGATAAAATAAAATAATTAAATGAATTGTTGGAAAATGTCCACCTTGCGCCATGATACATCCATCGAGCCTTCTTCTCAAAGATTGACGTACACGCTCAAAGATACCAGGTGTGTTACGTATTGCCTCGCATGAAGCAACTATTCGATTCCTCAAATCATTCTCATTCTCAATTGGAATGATATAAACCAATGATTTCAGATGCCCCCAAAGAAAATAATCCAAAGGATTTAAGTCTGGTGGTCTAGGAGGCTTTGACTTTGTCACTTTGTTTACGGTTGTGCGAATAGTAACTCATGTGAAGCAAGGCATATTTATGCAGAAAGATCTCCAACGCAATTTACCGTTTCGTCAAACATTTGCGAACATTCACTTGTATTTCGGAAACTAAATCGTTTTGGACACGTTTATATGAACCCTTTTATTTGAAATAAACCAAAGAATCGCTCTGTTAAATATGGCAACATACTTTACTAACATCCTGTATACTTAATATGTTAACATCGTTATAAGCGCGTTCTGAATAAACTTTTATATTTCCCATTTTCTGTTTGAGTCTTACCAGAATAAAATGTTCACGATGTGACGCTACTTGTAGAGAACGACGCTATAATGCAGATTTTTTAAAACTTGATTTCTGTGGAAAATCTTTCAGTTGATGTTTAATTTGTCTCGTTTTATATTGTACTTCAATTTCACTTTTGATATTATACGCAATAATGATACAATGCATTCTTCTCTTCTTCGAAAATCGAATAATCGTTACGCGTCTGGATTCAAATGTATTTATTATTATTCTGTATTTTGTACACTGATTTTTACACAACATCACGTTAATTCTGTTAATAAAAAAGCGAAAGAAACATACTCTTCATCCTGCAGAGTTCACGTCTAATTACAAATAATTCCATTACTTCTACTAAAAGTGATACAAGAAATTAACTTTCCACTGACAATTGGGGTCTTTAAAAAAGTATCGATATTTTGATCGTGAATTTTTGTAGATAAATCTGTAAAAAATAAGTAAAATATAATCCGACCTCTCTGATGGTAACAAATCGTTGACTTTTATATAGTCTAGAATAAAATAAAGATTAAAATGCAATTTCTCAAATACTCTTATTGCTGGCCAAAATTTATATTGCTGACGGAGGCTAAAGTTTCCCAGAAAAAGAAAAAACTATTTTCAATTTTACAGAAAATTATTAACTAATCAAATAATATCAAACAATAAAAAAAAAAAAGAATATTCCTAACATGATAAATAAAAAGTGATTTTTATCATTTTTATTTCACGATCCATTAAAAAAAACCAGCCTTTTGAAGTTGTGATGATTTTAATCATACTTTTTTATTTTTTTAAAGCCCTTTTCAATTGCGCTCTTTTCAGTTGCGCCTTTTTGACGATTTTTTTAAATAAAGTTAGTTCATTTTTGACGATTGGTAAAGTAACGCTTATCGAATTCATGATAAAAAAATATTACATTTTTTGAGTTTGTATTACTTTTGAAGCAAGGGATTTATCAATTAGCGACAACCACACTCAGAGACGACCATGTCCTCGTAGCCGTATTCGTAGGTCAAAGTGCCTCTGGCGTCCAGGTAGAGCAGACTCGTAGGTGCCAGTCTGGTGGGCACGCAGCAGGCTCTACCGATAAACTTGTTGCCACGAAGATCTTCGCTGGCCTGGAGTGCGCCGTGCATCAACGTCTGCACTATCGCGTGCTTGGTCGGGCTGAGATGATCGCCCAATGGAAAGAAACACTTGCCGGTGCATTGATAAGCTTCGTATCCTGGCGGCGCGACCACCCATTCGTCGTAGGCGATCAGGGCGAAGTCCACGTACATGGGACGCCGGCGGCAACTATTCCGACGTCGTCTTCGTGGCGGTTCGTCGTCCCAACGATCCTGATCCTCTTGGTCCTCAGTGGATCGCCGATGACGCCGGACGCCTCTGACCTTGCTGTAATTCAGCAGAAGAATCGGACCGTCGCCATAAGGATGATAGGTCAGCCTGCCGTGAACGTAAAGCTTGACTGTATCGCCGTTCCTGCCGGCAACAATGGACGTGACATCAAAAGCCCGCCACGCGTCGTCCTTCCTGAGCTTCCGGATCTCCTCACTTCCGTTCTTCATCGTAGACAGATCGTTCAATGATCGCACTCTAACTATCGCGCCAGCTATCCCGAGCAATTCTGCAGCCTCCAGCGCCTCGTCGACGCCGGTGGACGGGATCGAGAATTCCAAAATTCTACCGCCGTCGCTGAGCAGACTGGAAATGTGCACCGGTTGAATCGCGCGGACGACGTCGGCGTCCGGACGCCGATGGTACAACTGCAGCATGTACTTGGACAGGGTGCCGCGATGTTTTCTGCGCGCGGCGTCGCGTGAGAGTCTCGCGTTAGTCCTATCAAAGGGAGGTCGACGTGACGTCGATAGTGACGATGACGACGATGACGGAATTGACAGGTCGAAGTGAATTAAAGCCTTTGCGCGCATGCTGGAGTTCCATCGACTGACCGATCCGATCTTCCATAAACAGCAGACAAAGAACGTACCCGCCGCCAACAGCAGCCAAACTCCTGGAGTTCGCATGGCAGATCCTCGATGTGTCTTACACGAAGGTAGAAAGGTCGCAGATTTTATCAGGGAAATTCCCATAATATAATATTTTTCTGGAACTCGAAATTGTAAAATTCACGCAAAAGTATTATTAAGCATCAAGATCTACTTTGCACGTTGGCTCCTTCGCTTATTTGTGTGGTACATTTTTTTTTTTTAGTCAATTTTCACTTATTATTATATAACATTTTATATTTCTGATATTGCACCTTAAATGGTTGATCCCGATATATTTTTCTCTCGTCAGACTTGAATAAAATCTATAAAAATCGCGCTTATAAAGATCAGAATCTATTTTGCTACACTCGTTCATTCACCTCGTAACTTTTGTCTTTTATCATTCTC